TTCCTCTCGCATAAATTACTTTACCACACCAAAATCGAGGGATAAGGTAAGTGAAAAACTACCTATATATGTATATATACTAAGCAGAATTATAAAAATTACATTCCTCACTCTATTGAGTTCTTCAAGATCCGAGACCCCGAAATACCCGGCTATTCCGTATCTATAACAAAAAGCTTTCGTTACGACGAAAACTTCTCTGAAGCGGTTTAAAGTAGATCCTGGAGGAGAGAGCCAGAGGAATACTCCATCAAACTTTTCCCGCGATTTTACACAAATCTATTTCAATTGGAACCATTGGACTACGACAAACAAAACGCAACATACTATGTTCCCCTAATCTGTATCGTTGAACACGATTGCTGTATATCGACACCTGAACTTGTCAATCTACAGAATCCAAAATTAAGACCAGTTCAACTCACCAGCGTTAATTTAAATGATTTCAAGTTTGCTAATAAGAAACTTGAAGACTTGAATGAAGTTCTATCAAATCAACTCAAGAAACCCTTCATTGTGACACATTCGCATTGGTACACATCAATACTAGCCGGACTCGTCGCTATTATTGTCTTAATCATTCTCATCAACACACGTCGCTACTGTGGATGTTACTACTGGCTAACAAGACTTTGTTGCTTTACTAAAAATCGTCAAACCGGAGAAATGATGCCACCAATCATAAAAAATTTTGTCAACTGCAGTTTTGATTCAGATTTACGAAGAGATTACAGAGGTTCAACTAGTGACATTGTAATTTACGACAAGGAACAAGCAAAATTACGTACAACCATCCCATTACAACAGTCGAGATTCCAGAGGAAACAGATGAGACGACACCAATGACAATCATCGAACAAACCACCAGAAACTGAAGATGCAGCACTACACCTTTATAATGATTTACCAATATTAACAATAAAATTATTAAACTTTCTAATTTTTACTAAAAAATTTCTAACTTTATGACTGTTGTATTCCCAATGACTTGACGATATTTTATTAATTTCTATTCGTTTATTGTCAAGTAAATAGGAGCACGATATTACAGAATATTTGTTGTATGAGCAATTCTGAGCAAGATCTGAGTAGTTCAGATGATAGATTCTAAGTAAGTCTCTGGATATTGAAGGAAGGAGCTTTATTTAGAGGGCTGACCCGAAGGTCCAGGAGAGGGGTTGAAATCTAGCTTGTAGGGTTAAAGGAAGTGTTTTTATGTAAGGGAAAGTTGGAGAAATCGGGATGAGTCCAAGGTTCATATTTTAGAAATCAGGGATGATATAAGAAAGGGTTTTCGGTGAAGGACTTGGAATGCATATAAAAAATAGGTTTTCCTTGTAGAGAAATCTTAACTTTCTAGAACTATAAAACTAATGTTTCTTTAAAATTATAAGTATATAGGTATGGTATATAACAATATGATCATCATTCTTCACTAGTCAGATCAGTTACAATTTTTCCTTCGACAAATCTATACTAAATCTCTGTTAAAAATTATCTTCCTTTAAACGTATATCCAATATTAAATAACGAATAATATTATTTAGATTGAAATGCAACACCACATACTTCAACATCAAGACGAAGAGAATAAATAGTCGAACATCAACATCCAATTATTTCCATTATTCAGAGAAAATAAAAAGAAAGGGGTTGAAAAATAAATTGACTCCAATTGTAAAGTTCTATTACTTGTATCGACGTCTTGAAATGTGGTATCAGGTCAAAAATACAGGAAACTTACTTTAGCCCTTAAATTTGTCGGTAAGTATCTTTTCTAGAAATAGCCTCTTTTTTAGTGTGCGTGATGGCCACAACGCGGCACTAGAAGATGCCTGTAAAATCAAAATAAACACCGCTTTTGTATCATAAAGTGAGGGATCATAACATCAGAAACTGCCTTTGTTCTGCTGAAAGTCTAGTGGGTAAAATTTCATGCAGACTGTATTTGAAACACTTACGTCCGACTGATGCTTGAAGTCTTACGTCCAGTACTATCGTTAGACTTACGGCTATATCGGCTATGAAATATCAATTCAGATGTAAGCAGATTCACAAAATTCAGACCTGATCAGATCTGATTAAATCCGAAAATTTTTACCAACTCCGAGCGAAAAAAAAACAGATCTAAAAAAAGTTAAGCATTTTTGTAAAGACAATAATCAGATCTGAACTAATTGAAGAAAAGTACATCATTTTTCGTTTCAGACTTCGTATTACTTATTATCAGAGAAGAGAGACCAGCATAGAAGTCCAATGCTGTGTTAAAAATTCGGACGGAGTTTCGGTCAACATGTCGGTAATTTCAGGTCACAACATAAAAGCTTCTGTGAACCCAACAGGTGATGGCACTGCTCCGAATTATTTTAGCCACGCCTCTCAATCTAAGAGAGAGGAAAGACAAGATTTCTGTTCTCTTTTACTCTTATTGTGAATATCTCAATGCAGTTAAATTCCTAACACGAGCTCTTGTCCCTCAAATATAAAGAGAATCGGACTCAGATCGAGTGACCGTTTCTATAGCCACTCATTTGTAGAGAATTGAATTCTCTATTGAATAAGATATACTTTTTTGCATTTTTTTTTTTCTTAATTGTTCATAACAGAAAAAAATGCAAAATAAAATTAATCAATGAGACAAAAGAGAATCCAATCCTCTGCTAATGAGTGGCTATACCAATTATGATAAAACTCTTATAAAATCATTTTTTTTAAACGATGGTATATCACAATCAATATGGATCAAGTCATGGGAGTATCCTGATAAGACCCGACAGTTACCCCCTTGTGTTTTCGGTTCGCAACTGTCCATTTACAGTATTCTCGGCTTGGCAGGTGATTTAATCGCAGAAGATGTACCTTTTTTGCTTACTTCTTGTTTAAATCAAGACTGCATTGAAAATCTATTCGCGTACATTCGACGTCGTGGTGACAATAACCCGAATCCTTCAGCTATGCAATTTCGACAGAATTTGCAATGTAGCATTGTGTCAGGGTTAATGTCTCCTTCAAAAACCTCCAATTGCCAGGACGATGATGATCATAGCGTGCAGCTAAATCACAATAAAATTGATCAGCAGATCCCGAGGGGAAACGATGATATCAACAATATCTCTTTTCATTCGGAAAGCAAATAAATCGAACTTCTTCATGATTTCACTGTTGATGATATTGATTGTGATATACCATCGTTTAAAAAAAATAATTTTATCAGAGTTTTATCATAATTGGTATAGCCACTCATTAGCAGAGCATTGGATTCTCTTTTGTCTCATTAATTAATTTTATTTTGCATTTTTTTTTGTTATAAACAATTGAGAAAAAAAAAATTGCACAAAAGTATATCTTATTTAATAGAGAATCCAATTCTCTACAAATGAGTGGCTATAGAAACGGTCACTCAATCTGAGTCCGATTTTCCTCACATTCGGGGGATTGAGAACTTAGAAAAAAGTTCCAATAGCATAAGTGCGGGTCCTATATTTAATTGTTTATGCCTCTTTTATATTGAAAAAATGGTTTTATACGAATTTTATCATAATTGGTATAGCCACTCATTAGCAGAAGATTGAATTCCCGTTGTTCTCATTAATTATTAACTTCCCAGTGGGAAGTTATAGTAATGGGTCCGATTTTGCGAATCGCTAATTTTGACATATCTCCACGTTTTAAGGTCCCGCGAATCCAATACGACCGTTTTCCAGTGGACGTCTGTGTGTGTGTATGTACGTATGTGCGTATGTGCATATGTGCGTACGTACGTTCGGAATTATTTTTCGCTTCGATTATCTCGAGAACAAAAAATGATATCGATGTGGGACCACTTGCATTCGACGCGTAATTACGTAACTTAGAACTGAAAAAGTTTTCAGGAAAATCGGTAGAGCCATTTTTTTGGCAGAATCAAAAAACTGGAAAAAAAGGAAATTACTTGAATTTTGCAATTTATCAATTATACCATTTTTTAGACAAAATTTTAAGATCATTGCAGAAATATAAATATTAAATGATTGGAATACTTGTATGGATATATGATGACAATATTTCATCGAAAAAAAGAAATTTAAAAAACAATATCAGCAATGAAAGAATTTTAAACTCGTGTCAGGATTGAGAAAACAGCATTAAAGACGCTATAATAGTCAATAATAATTGTCAATAATATGGAATTGTGTTCATAACAATTGAACATTGTTACTAACAAGTGATGATTGGTCATAGTAATATTTAAATAATAAGTTTTAAATTGTTATAAACAATAAAAATAGGGATCCATGCTATATATATGAGTACTTTTAACGCATAATTTTTTCGTTTATTAAAAAAATGTTACCAACCGTATGACATAAATGAAAACATGCTTTTTTCGTGTGTAACAATGAAATTCGTTGTAAATAATGAAAAAAAGGATCTATGAGGTACATTCGAATTCTTCTAACGCACAATTTTTTCTTTTACTGAAATAAAGTAACTAACCATATCAAATGAATAAAAACAGACTCATTTCGTTTATAAAAATTCCATTTGTTATAAAAAATGGAAACGGGTTCTATTCAAATTGTTTTTTTATTTTTTCCACTGGGAAGTTGGTCGTGTGGACCTTTCGGGTCGCCCCCAGACCACTGCAGAGCACTGATATTTTTATTTTGCATTTTTTTTGTTATAAACAATTAAAAAAAAAATGGCAAAAAAAGTATATTTTATTCAATAGAAAATTCAATTCTCTACAAATGAGTGGCTATAAAAACGGTCACTCAATCTGAGTCTGATTGTTCTCACGTTCGTAAATGCTGACTGCATTTTTTACCTCCCATAAAGACTGGACTTCTTTACTGGTCTCTCTTCTCTGCTTATTATATACGAATTTATCTCCTCCGATGTTAAATTCTATAATTTAAAATCTGCGCGTCCATAGAAATCGAGTTTCCGTGCATACGTTTTCATGAGAAGACGCCCGTTGTGAGCACGTGCTACGGGCAGCGTGCTGACGGCATAAACTACAAAATGGCGTTAGCTGTACAATAATACATGGATAATATTTTATCATGTAGTGGATATTCTAGTTCTAAGTTCGTTGAAATATACCAAATTTATTTAAAAATGTATCTAATACAATGTCAAGCAAACGATCTCTATTATAAAGTACAAGATAATAATATTAATAGTATTGGTGATATTGTGCTATACATGTAACAAGGAAGACGATTTAATGGAGAAACAATAATGATTTCAGGTAACTATTTCGTATTTATTACAATACATCACTCTTCTACAATTTTAATTTTTTTTATAATATTCTGCGCAAAAAATCAAATCTGATAGGGTATTTTTCCATGTACTTTTTATCGTTAATTATTTTGAATATATGTATTTCAGACGATGAAAATAAAATTAATGAACACCAGGCAAAATTAGAGAGTGGAAATATGGATAAAAGGAAACTTGGTCGAGCAGAAAGAGAAGCAGATTTAAATAAAAGAAAACGCACTATACCATCACTCTATTCCTCTGATACATTTGCTGGTTTGAAGTTAAAGAAGCCCAAAGGCAATTCAAATCCGGAAAAGGTATTATATGTATATTCATTGATAAAAAATATTTTCCGTTATTATACTGAAAATCAAACCTGAAATAATGAGAGATAACCCTAGTTGAACATTCCGATGTAATTTTTTAAGAAAAACTTTTTAAGAATAAATCGAAAAATTGCATGAGAAATATTACACCTTTTATAAGTGTCTAAAAAAAATTTTCTTATAAATTCTTATGAAACAAGTGATATTTCTCATGAAATTTTCCGATTTATTCTTACAACTTTATAAGAATCTTCAAGAGATTTTTGTATCGTTTTTATGGGAATTCATAAGAAATTATTGAAAATATTCTGATCGCTTCGTATAAAAATCTATACAACGAAATCTATATGTACGTATCGGAACGTCTTATAATCATTCAATGAGAATGAATAAGAATTCATAAGCGTATAATGATTTCCAACTTATTTTATGAGTGTTTATGGGAATAAATGAAAGAAATTACAAGGATCAGTAGTAAATCATTTGCAAATAATATCTTTTAGTTTCGCAATTAAATTTATAAGATGCAATGAGAACGAATGTTTTAAGATTCTAAGAGAAACTTATTGGTTAGCACCTTTCAACGTCCTGACGACTGTTTTCGTGAGAATCCATTATATAAGGCCGTGCAGAACGGACAGACAGAGACTTGGCTTTGAGGTTTCACCTGAAGCAGGCGAGGACCTAATCTACCCCGTGGTTATAACCCGAAACCGTAAAAATTCTGCTGATACAATTATTTCATTAAATTAAAAATCAACGATGCGTGTGTGTCAATAGATTTCTGCATCAGTTGATTAAATAAGAAACTAGCAGATTTCCGCGACTTCGTACGCGTAATGTGCACAATTGCGTTACATAATAATAATTTGATCGGGAAAGTTGCTAAAGAGCGAGTTCATAGTTTGAATAAGCCAATTTCGAATACCTGCGTATAAACAGGAAAGTAATTATATACGTAAGTAAACAATTCGAATCTTATCGTGAGATTCGATTTCTGCTCCTTCGCAACGATTTATAATTGTTATTAATGAAAGGAGTACGGTTTCATTGATTCTACACAGTTAGTAACTTCATTTCAGTAAAAGAGAAAATTTCCCGTTGGAAGAACTCAAACATATTGCATAGATCCCGTTTTTCATTATCTATAACAAATTCAATCGTTATAAACAAAAAAAAAGTTTATCCATTTTACACGGTTTGTTACTTATTTCAGTAATAAAAAATTTTCTCTTGGAAGAACTCAAATATATTGCATAGAACCTGTTTTCAATTGTTTATAATAATTGTTGGTGAGCACATAATAATGAATTGTAGTTATTCATTAATTAACACCTACAAGATATTTAGCTAAAGTCAAATGTTATTTGTAACTACAAGAGTAACATAGGAGTTAAAGACATCTGTTCGTACAAAATTTTAGTTCTTTGCTATTTTATTTACAACGAAACATGTTTAACTGTATTATTATAAGATGTTATCAAGAGAATTGTATGAGAAACATTTCTATAAAGATAAATTTTTTCTTGCCTTTTTACAAAATAGTGATTCCAGAAATGGTCTCCATGTCATATCTCTGCAAATTAAATTTGCTATAGGAAGTTTATTTTGCTGAATTTTACATTTTTTTTAATTCTCGAAAATTTCAGAATATGGTATTACTTTTTCTTTTTTAGATTCCAAAAAAAAGAAAAATTACTCATAAAGTAGAAAAAAGTAACATTATTTCTTCAAGTTTCTAATATCACTATCCCCAATGCCGCCAATAAAAATTTTTCGTTGACCTCCATAAGTGACGATAGCGATGCGTCGCCATTTATAAAAAAGGTGAATATTTTTAATATCAACTATCCTAATATGGTATCTTTATTACTCAGATCTTAGTACTCAGCGGTAACTTCAGTAAATTATAATAGTGGGATTTTTTTCAGAAACATATTCTTTCGCGAAATGAGGACTTGATAGCATTATAAGAACTGAATAAGACTGTAACAAATCATAAAATCGAAGGTAGTAAAAATAAGATAGGAAAAGAAAATATTGGACAGACTAGAGACGAATATTACTACGCAGAAGGATATAATACTACTATTAATAAAAATAAAAATGATACTAATAATGATAAAAAAGATGTCGATCAAGATGATAAGAAAGAGGTCGAAGTCACATTCAGGAAAAGGTTGAAATACTACATCTTCAGGTCGTAGCGTCAATTATTGGTAATCCACTCATTTTATCACATACAAAATTATGGATATTCTTATTTACTACCTTACATTTACAGAATATTAGAAATGTATTTTTTACAGCTTAAGCTAAATCAACTTTTAAAAAAGCTGAGCCAAATAAAAAATTTCTTACATCGAAAAAAAAAAAAATTTATCAATTTATTTCATAAAGAAGAAAACAATAACAAGAAGATGAATGGCAACAGCACTGAAATAATAATAAGACAAACAACAATATAATAAGAGAATATAAATTTAATTGATTAAACACAAAAAGTAACAACGGAAATAACAACATTTGTGAAAGAAACAATAAAAAAATTAATAATCATATTTGTTCAGTCGTGATTCAATTATTCTTCGGCAAAAGATGTATATGAACAGATCTTCTCGAACTGAATATTATCAATCGAAAGATGTACATTTAAATCTGAAGTACTGGTGGAAAAACCTAACAGACCCTGGTCTTACATAAACCATATAAGGCCAATTTACGCTTGACTTGGGAAGTAAGCTGGTGAATGTGTGACGAGGGCGTTACGTAAAGTGTGATCGGGCAAGGCGAATGAAAATGAAGAGGGAGATATAAGTTAAAGGCATCTATGCAAGACATTTGAGTTCTTCCAACGCGTAATTTTTCATTTGCTAAAAAAAAAAATGACCTAGTGTCGAGTTGTGTTCACCCAGTGAATTGCGGCTTCTTCCACCAACTCGTAAAAGATCCTGCTGGTCGACGAATAGAAACATTAAACCCCATTAAAATTTTATGAGATTTGATTGGATTCAATAAGGTCAAGTAGAAAAGAAAAATCTGCCCAATTGAAAGGTATTGGATTCAATTGAAAATGTGTTTCTATAAGGAATTCCAATTCGATTACAATTGGAAATGTATAGGATTCAACGGGAAAAAAGAACTTAGATAAAAAATGACGCCACTAACAATACATGGTACACTTGATAGATGGCTTTATGGTTCACTCTTATACCATAACACTGAATCGAGCATTTATTGAAGAAAGGTTTCAACACTTTTAAAAAACAATTAAAAAATTTATTTTTTATCAATTTTCTTCTTATGTTAAATTTTAGTACTTAAACACGAAGAAGAAAAAAGTGATAACTTTTAGTCATAGGAAAAAAAAATCAATTCTGACGTTAATCTAAATATGTTCTTGCTTCTGTAAAACGTGTCTTTATTGCAAATCTTATATATTAACCTTTAGAACTGAAATTCAATTCATCTGATGTCAATATTGAAAATTTATGTTTCTCTACGTTGATATATTTTTTTTTCATGCATGAATTTTTCTTTAAATTTGCTAATTGCATTAGTTGCTTTAAATAACGAATATTTTAAGCATAAGTAATCAATTATAATTAATAATCATTTCTTTTTAATGTTAGCAGAAAACAAGCTCCAACAATGATGTATCGTCGAAAGAACATAGTAAAATGCAACGTGATCTAAAAGAAATGAGAAATAGAGTAAGAGTGTTAGAACAACAATTACAATTTGAAAAAAGCAAGAATGAAACTCTTCAACATTCAATAAATAAAATAATCTTGGAACAAAATATTCAAAATAAAATAGCTGATGATGTTGCATCGATTTTAAGTAAGTTTGCAATATTTTAATTGTTATGTATATTTAAGAAAAAAATTTGTATACATTGATTCTGTTTTTAATCAGGATTATATCACAAACAAATGTCAAATGACTTTAACACTCCATCAACATCACGTCAGGATCTGTCACCGATTGGATTGCCGAATGTAACTGAAGGGACAACCCATGTGGGTTATGACATATGGATTAAGTCTGACGTATTTGATATAATAATGAGTAATACTTCACCTGGTGTTGTTATTCGAGATTTAGCTCGAGCGTTATTTTCCGAAGAAGAACTTTTGAATAGTACCGTATCCGGTAGACCTTCTAACAAGAACAAGAAAAGAAAGGAATTGGAAAACGTAAATTTAGAAGTTCAAGGGCTTTCGGGCTCGAGAATAAATGCGATAAGGGGTGAGTAACTATATCCGAAAAATCTGAAAAATTTAGAATTAAACGTATCTGAAATAGTACTGCTGTGCTTAGGTAAAAGATTTTTAATTGAATTGGTAACATTAATATTCTTTATCATTCTATCTATAGTTAAAAATCAAAATATTAAAAAAGCAGTAAATGAAAAAGACTGTTAATTACCTTAGCATGGCAGTGCAGATAACTCTGACAGAATATTTTTTGAACAAATGAAATAACATCTAAATCTTACATTGATTTTTTTAATTTTATTTTAGATACATTAGAATACTATTTAACGATGAGGCACAAAAAAATGCCACAAGTGAAAAAAGATCAAATAATAGCTCGTGTCCGATCTGTCATAGCATCATTAATTGCTGATCAAAAAAAAAAGATAAAAGTAATGAAAAAAAAGTCAGATGGAGTAGATGAACAAAGCAAAGTAGAGAAGGAAAAAGAAAAAGAAGATAATGCTGAAGTAACTGAAAAAAATAGAGAAGAAGAAGATAAAGGAAAAGAATCAGAATATAATGACAATGTAATTATAAAAACAGAAGAAAATCAGGAAATGGAGGCAGAAGATGTTGATATAGATGAAAGAAATATAGAAGTAACTGAAGAGATAAAAATAGAATATGGTAATTATGTTGATGAAGCCAGAAGATACAGCAAGCAATATTTTTGAAGAGGAAGAAGTGGAAGACAAAAAGGATGTGGCGGTTAACGGAGAAATTTAAGTTTAGAGTAGTTAGTAGTAGATTATGCATCAAGGGACTTAAATGGGCTATTATTGCCTCGCATAGATGAAGTCGTGCGTATGTGTGACTTAAGTGACGTCATTTCGCTGAGGCGATGATAGCCATTAGGTCCTATTGGTGCATACTATCTTTTATATAAAAAAGGTAACTTATTCTAGGCGTAGAGAGGCATCTGAGTATCCCCTTTTTGTAATTTTTGTACAGAAATGCAGCTAATATTGAATGCATCTTTATATATTACTGATTGTATAAATAAATTTAAGTTTATTAATAAACCAGTAATGGCTAAAAACTAATTAATAAAAATAATTTAATCAGTAAAACTTGCTATTTGAGCTGGTTGAATAAGATTAGAAAAATTACTTTTGATCATTGTAATAGTACATTTCACACCTAGGGAGGAAAAGTAAACTGTAGACTGGCTTAAACCACGTGTTTACCATCCTCGCCTTCGGCTCGAGGTGTAATTTTGCACGTGGTTTAAGCTAGTCTAAATGTCCTCCTTGGGGTTGAATTTTCTGCGTGGAAAATTCAACCCCTCTCCAACGGAAAAATGAACTTTCCGCGCAAGTATGACGAAAAAATATTTTCATTCATCAGTAAAAGTAGAATTTTTGAAGACTGTCAATTTCTTCAGGTGATAAAGTTGGTTTTTGTGGCATGATAGTCAGGCATCCCTGAAAATTATCATTTTTCAAACGATTTCCCTATTACCTACTCAGTTTCAGTTGACATCAAGCTTTCGTCCTCCACCGCACAAAGGGAGGGCGCAAAGTCAACTTCGGAACTTTTTTTTTCTTTGGTATAGCCGAGCCTTAAGGCTGGGCTGAAGTCAGAAAGGCGACTGATTCCCCCTATCCAAATACATGGGATCGGGGAATTTCTAATTTCTTCGCCAATTTACAATTATTTCTATAAAATTAGGTACCAAATTACAGAGGAATTAATGCCGGACTGACGTAAACAACAATTTTTTGTATATAGTGAATATTTTTATTAAAAAAATTAGAAAGAATAATGAAAAAATTATGAATTGACTTGCCGCGCTTAAATTTCAAGATGGCGGCCACATCATTCAGATGAAAAATCACTAATTATTTCATTTTTATACGTTTTTCGCCCAAAATTCGTGTTTGCGTCAGTCCTTGCCACCTGTCTGAATGTTAAAAAAATCAATTCATAGTGTAAAATTGAATAATTTAGAAATAATTAGAAATCTTGTATTCCAGATGATATTCTCCGGAAAATTAGTTTGAAAAAATTCTGATAGGTGACAGCATTATGCTCGCAGATGACCTCAGTCATCCATATTGAAAAAATGCTCAATCCGTATCCAGAACTGATGGTGCCCTGCATTTTGGCGAGTAAATTCTGTATGTGTGTGTACGGGTAATATATGTATGTGATGTAAACATAGTGTATCACTTTACAATGCCCTACACTTTGATGACTATTGCAGTTAGGATAAATAAAAATGATGATACTCATTTAACATTAATTAATATAATACCTGCAAATAACTTCAAATACATATACTCATCCATTATTATCATTTTTATTAGGTATAAATGTTAATAAGGAAGCTCAATTCCAAGTCGGCGTATCCAAGCATGTAGTGTAAAAACAAATATACATTAACTCAATATCGAGATTATGCTGGCCATGTGGTTAGGGCGTCAGAGTTCTATTTTGCCGGGCAGGGTTCGATCCCAGTCATAACCAATTTTTTTTTTCTACTTTATTCGTTAGATTAGCATGTAATTATAATATTGACATGCTATAATTAATCTTTTATAACAATTTGATTTTTTTTTCTCTTTATTCATTGAATTTATTGACGCTAAGTCGAAAAATATTTGAACAGAGCCATAAACTTTCTTTTTGTATAAATACATTGATAATAGCCTGTGTTTAACAACTTATACATCTTTACATGTATTAACAATGTTATGTTATTAACAAGTTAATCATATTATTATTAACATTGAAAAGTAGTTTAAACAATCTGTGGCGAGTTTCGGCACTTTCCCGGCAAGTTCTACCCCCACTCTCTGTGCCCAAGCCTGCAGCTTATAATTTTTAAGCGTATTGAAACCATAACAGCTCAATGGTTACAGCATCGGTCTTTTATTTTGCTAGGCAGGGTTCGATTCCAGTCATGATAAAGTTTTTTTTTCTCTTTTATTTGTTAGATTTGCATGTAATTATAATATTAACATGCCAAAAGTAATTGTTTACAACGATTTGATTTTTTTTTCTCAATTATTTATGTAATTTATCGACGCCGAGTCGGAAAACATATGAACAGGGTTATAAACACTTTTTTTACTATAGCTATATGAACGTAGCTTTTTTTTAAGCAATTTAGAAATATTTAGAAGTAGTTGAAATAATCCACGGGGATTTCCGGCACTTTGCCGGCAAACTCTATCCCTACCCTTCGTACTCAAGCCTGCATTATACAATTCATAAACATAAACATAATGTCAGAGATGATGTGTTAGCTCTGTGAGTAGACCACCAAGCTTTCATTTTACCGATTAGGGTTCGATCCCAGTCATAGCCAATTTTTTTTTTCCTTTTTTTTTCATTAAAATTTTATATAAATACAATAATTGGTTGTTTATATAAGTTCAAAATCAATTCCTATTGTCTTTTAAAGACAACACTTTCGAAAAAAGAGAATTCATAGTAACTCGTTCCTCACCCTCAGCTTATTTTCAGAAAAACAAGTTGTTTTCCGTAATTAATTGGAAGAATAATTTAATCAAATATATGAATTAATTTATGAGTATTTAAAGTCACTTAAGCAAAAAAAAGAAAAAACAATTGCCTATGACTGGGATCGAACCCTGCCCAGCAAAATAAAAGATTGGTGCTCTAACCACTGAGCTATTATGGTTTCAATAATAGTGAAGATGCTTGAAAATTATAAGCTGCAGGCTTGGGCACAGAGAGTAGGGGTAGAGCTTGCCGGTGAAGTGTCGGAACTTGCCGCGGATTGTTTAAACTATTTTTTATTGTTAATAAGTTGTTAAAAAAGGCTATTATCAATGTATTTGTACAAAAAAAGGTTAATGACCCTGTTCAAATATTGTCTCATTTGTCATCGATTGATTGAAAAATAATTTTACATAAAAATTGAAATTTAAAACTCATTTTCGGCATGATAAAATTGCAATTACATGCAATTTGAATTAAAAAAAAAAAATTTTCCGCAATTGGAATCGAACACCGTTCGGTAAAATAAATGTCGAATCTTCTGACTACAGAGCCAACATATTTTCATTTGCTTTGTTTACGTTTAGATATCATAAGCTTCAGGCTTGGTAACAGAGGGTGGGGGATGTGCTTGCTCGTCAACTGTTCGAACTCGCAGTCTTCTCTGAAAAATAAGACGGAGATAGATAGATATATTCTGTGCTCTGTCTTGCTCGAAACAGATTATTCAAAAATTTGTAAATTTCTTGGTGCCCTAAGGCTCCCTTTTTGTAGTGCATCCCTGAAAATTATCATTTTTCGAACGATTTCCCTGTTACCTACTCAATTTCAGTTGATGTCAAGCTTCGGCCTTTTGCCGCACAACGCGAGGGCGTAAAGTCAACTCCGGGAAACTTTCTGACTTCAGCCCAGCCTTAAATATTTTTAATATAATCGAAATTTCATACTTGTATAAAATCTTAACAGTCTCGCTAAGTTGTTTGTTGTTATGTTGATTGTGTCATAAAACATACTAAATTAAAAAAAAAAAAAAAACTGAAAAAAATATTTCAGTTCAAATATTGTTGATTCTGAGATTTAAATATTTGGTATCCAATGATTTTAGGACTTTTTGTAGTTTCATTATTATCATTATTTATGCTTCGCGCACATTTTTGTACAGCCTAGATCAAGGAAGTGATAGGAAGCGAAAGTCTTTTATAATATTTACGTATTTTATTTTTTAATAATATTGCCAATTAGTGACTGAAAAATAAAAAGTTTTTAATTTCCAACAATAATAAATTGATATCAATTAATAATATTTATTTAAATCAATGATATTTGACTTTTGTAATAAATAAATTACTAAGTATTCTTTGATGTAAAGCAAATTATGTAAATCAATATTTTCATTTTAGTGAATGCAAAGCACCACGTGTTTATCAAGCAACAGGTGTCAACTGCATACTATTCCAGAATTCAGATATTAATTTATCTTATACTACGAAAATAAAAAACAGACTTAGGCTTCCTTTACTTAAACGTCAATAAATACTTCAAAAATACATCCCTAGTGAGCATATATCAGAATCTGTCAATTGAAGACAGTAGGGTGCCGGTAGGGATCTTTATGTTAGGCCTATGTTTTTTTCACACAAGTGGAAACGCCTGTGCTATTTTTATTGTAAATGACGTTCACTCTTGTACCCTGGGCGTTGGTGGCGCCGTTTGTGATTCTGAGCTTTTAGTTCTCCCAGTCTCTTTGCCTTGGGCAGACGAGATCCCGGAATAAAGTCGGGACGCGGCTAAATTTTAACTATAGCCAAATGCTATAAAATTGTGTGTTAGCTCTAAAAAAAAGTCATTAGAAAAACGCGAGTATTCAAGTGAACTTTTAGATCTACTTTGATTTAATTCTTGTAGCAAACTCCCCCGGAAAAGTAGTGCAAGTGAAAAGAGTAATTGAAAGCTTTAGACAAACTTGGGATTTTTACACAGTAGATGCTGAAGGTCGATTCAGAAAGCATGAATGCAGTGGAGACGTCTTTGAAGCCTGAAAATGACGTCAGCGACGATAACGACGTTGAAAACAATGCGGAACATCAAGATGTCGATGATCCTGATGATGATGATGAGCCTCAATATGTAGAAGAAAAGGATGTTAAGGAAGAAGTGGATGTTAAAATAGAACCTAAAGATAAGGTGGTTGATGAAGATGGAGATACTCTGGAAGAGACATATGAAATCACCACTACTCGGCGTAAAACCACAACAACGAGGTACAAGATCCAAGAAGTAAGTTCTTGAGCGGCATTTACCTAATGTATTAGAGTATCCACGTGAATATGACGCGTTTTATGCTTGGCAGGATGTCCATATTATTATTGTGGGTGTTATTGCTAGTGTTATATATGCGGTTAAAGGTAGAGTAACCGCGAGAGATTTAAAACTGATCGTGGTTTGTCTTTTGCCGTTGAGTCGACGGGCTATTACGTTAAATTAATAGACCAATAACTCTGGTCTTATGCAACATAAAACTGTCAGGATGACTCCAGGTTGATAAATCTCTCAACCATGTATTTTTCTAGTTTCTCAACTAGCTAAAGGATAAATGAGCTTTTTTGTCGCTTTCTTTTTATGTATTTATGGTTTTAGTGATAAAGAGCTAGTTTCTAGGAATATATCTGACATATTTGGAGAGAATATTTTTTTTTATAACTGAAATGTTTTTTCTCTTCGAGTTATTGAAAGCCTGCTTCTTGAATTGAATACTAGTTGTTAAATAGTGTAAATTAGTGAAATTTAAAGAAAGAACAAGGAAATGGATTTTTCAGATAAAAAAATATTTTAAATTCTTGTTTTAATAGGTCTGCTTGTACTGAATTATTCCTTGACGTTAATGGAAAAAGAATCAATCGTACAACCACAAGTGATTACATGATACATATATACAACAAAATACATCTTTCCACGATTTGTCGGTATATTTTGCGTCATTGTCAAAGACGATTTTAGATTCTGGCAAACGTACTGGTATAACTTCTCGTCTTCGACGCCGGCGTGGAAACATAAATTTCACGAATTCGGCAGATGTTCACTGTTTCGATGGATCCAATTCAATTGTAACTTCCGTTCATGCATACAGCTCATATATTAATATACTTTCATCTTTTATGATTATTTATGATCATCTATTCTTCTGTTAGAAATTAATTTTTTCTGGATGTTTTATTCATGTTCATTTTTTTACTTGCTTGTAAATGAAAACTCTTGAAGTTTCTAAGATATTTTTTCTGATCAATTTATCCTTGTCTGTTGTACTCTTTGATTTGATTGATATTTTGGTAAATATATAAGGATCAGAAAGATTCAAGCAAAACGTATGTCGATATGAAAATAGCATCGAGGTCGAAGCCAAGTGCTTTCTTGATCAACAGTCTCGTTTATTTCCAGTGATGTTCCAATTGATTTCCTTCAATATCATTCATGTTTCATAACAATTATCTTATTATTTGTATTAAAAAAAAAAAAAATTACGTAATATTTTTTCTCTCGAGAAATTTGAAATAATTAACAATATGAAGTATTTAGCATATTCATTCTGACATCTAAAGCCAAAGGTTTTGCAATTTTCAAAAGCCTCGGACTTAATTCAGAGGTTGTTCTAGATTTTCACGAAATTTTTCCGTTGCCTAGAAATGTCATGTAACCATTAAATGGAAGGTTCAAGGTCATGGAAATATGAATTTGCAAAGTTAATAGTCGTGAAGACGTCATTCTCATGAGGTAACAGTCGTTCTTTTTGTGTAATTTTCATTCGTTGACGTCAAAAATTACTTCGCCGTCACTCCTGACGTTTTTCTATGTCACTCAAGTAAATTTTGATTATGTTGGCGTACTGTTAAACTCACAAGAACTTTCGTGAAGACGTAGACAGATGTCCGATTCGGCGTCATTATTTTTGAAATAGTCGTGAGCATTTGCAAGTTGAGCTTAACAATAGTTCCTCATTAAAATACTACTGTCTGCATGTCACGTTATAAATTCTACAAAGTATGCAAAATTTTCAACAATCAAACATCCCGTACACACTTTAATTAACATGATTGTTGTATTTTCTGATAGACATTCTGGGTGGTCAATTTGATTGATGGGTTTATTAAACGGTTAACCGGAAGTTTTGAGTTCTATTTGTGAGAACTAAGCATCAAACGGTCGTAGACTTACCGGTCATCCACCGTACAAATATAAATGTGACGACAAACGATGGACAAATGACTATGAACAACGACGACATTTTGCTCTTACGTGTTACGACAAAGTGTCGAGCAAATTCACGATTCGCATCGTTGATAAAAGATAGAAGAGTAACTCATGCAGTTCTAGAAGTGCCTGCTCATTATAAATCTATCATTTCCGTTTTCCAGTAATCATCACAAAGTCTCTTGTGTTATGTATACAAAAGTCTTCTAGAGATCTAGACATGTGGATTTGAATTAAATTCAACTGATCGGGAACACCATTTTTTTTTTAGATATAAATAATCAAATTCATATTTAGTAGTTGGAGTTCTATTTTTAACATTGTATTTTTGATTGAGAAAAAGATTCTTTTCCTCTGTTATGTTTGCTTATCATTAGGGGTTTTATGTAAATAAGTTTTAAAATAAAAATATTTTTATAAATAGTCAACATTTAGATATTATTTGTTATTTAACAAATAAAAACCAATTATTACATTAAAATTTTTTTGATTACAAAAATTTTTTTGTAAGCTTTAGTAGAATTCTTTTAATAGTTAAAAAGCATCGACATGCTTAAATAAAATGATGTTTTCACTTTGAACGACATGTTGTAACATCACATGTGTCATATCAAAAATTAGAACTATCTTATGAGCAGTTGCTAAATTAGTGTTTACTTAATAATTGGTGCTTAATTAGAAAACAATCATCTTTTCAGTTTAAGAATACTATTTTCTTCAATTATCACTACTAAGTTTCTCCTCAGATATATTCGTAGAATAGAAATGCATTTTTATTAAGATAAAGATGTTTATGAAAATTCAATATAAATAGAATGGAAATAAATATAAAAAGTTTATAGAGCTTTGAAGAACTTTACTCTAAAAAAATTTCAATTAGCAACTATCTATTTTTTCTGAGTTATTAATTATTATAAATAATAAAAAACAAATTTTTATTGTTAGCTTATAGAAAAGAATGGATTTAAAAATACTACAGCATGAAACATAATTTTTTTTATTCAGTCTACATAGAAATAAACTCTTTTGAGCCAATCAAGTAGTATAACCCTATCGTATGTTACACCTTTTTTTAATAGTCAAATTAATTGAACTTGAGCAAAGGAAACAATAATTTCGGTAATATTTTATCAAATGCTTAGTATTAGTGATGTAATATTCTAGGCAGAATCGACAATTTAATGCAGCAATGGAATTAACTGCTCCATTTATTCTCTAAAGGCTTCAAATTAGCTCAGTCTGCTCCACTTCATCATCCTTAGCAGTTCTGATTATTAATTAGAAGTGGCTTCAATTTGGAAATAAACTGCCCAGGACTTGATGAAATTTATGTTTTTGCTTGCAATACATCAACATTAATATGAAATATTATTAAAAATTAAAAGTTATTTACTTTTTTTTTAACAGTAAAATTTCTTCTTAAGAAAAAAGTTATTTCAATTAATTCGATTTAAAGAATAATTTTGGATAAGAAATTATTATGCAAGTAAGATTCATTGTAGTGAAATGACAAAAAAATCAATTATCGACTCTAATTAAAATGAAATAATGGCTCTGAGGAGATAAATGGAATAATTTCGTAGTAAATCCTAATTAGCATTGGAGTAAATAGTGAACTGGAATGAAATAGCCGTAGATTTGACACAAAGCCTGACAGAATCGACAGCTGGGCTCGGTTGGCCTGAAAGCTTAAACAGGAAGTGACCACTCGATCTAGAACTACAGGAGCCAGATGAGAGAAATAGAGAGTAAATGAGGCAAGATAGAAATACCGACAAAAGTGAACTGAATATATGTGCCTACTCTCCACTATTATATGTATAGTGTAATTTGATGATCGTCAGTCTTAATGTCATTTTAATGGCATTTTGGATGCCAATATAGTGGATATAACAAAACGTTACCAGCTGTTCAGCTTATCGAAATCATTTCATGACTTTCTCTCTTTTAAAAGTTTTGCTTTCTTTCTATCTCTCTGTTGTCAACAACTTTTGTAGCAACCGGCACTTTCAAAAAGCTCAAAATAAAATACATCGTCGTTCTTTGCTCCCGTTATTTTTAATTTTCAATTTACACACTTTTCTTTCTTTCCCTTTCTTTGTGAATTTCCATCATTTAAGAAAAACCCGTGATATTTTTATGCATATTTATTTTTTTAACACTTTGGCATTTTAACAAACATTTTGTGCATTTTTTATCTTGAAAATATTTTTAGATAGTCAAATAAATAAAATATTTGCTTTATTGATATTATTATTGGACTGATTTAGTTGTGCTGAAATTTAAATACAATTTATTCGAGTTTTGGAAAAGCACGAGCTCTTTTGCGTTGATCTCTGCAACCTTGAGGAAAATGAGCCTAGAGGCCGTGACTCTCTCACGTCGTATTTATCACGGGTATTAGTGGTGTGCTAAATGGTCTATAAATTTAACCTCGTTCGCGCTTCTCTTAGATACAAAATGTGAAATGTTATATTAATTCTGCAATAGACTCTTCCAAATGCTCATTAACGCTATACTTTCTTCTTAATTAATTAATATGCACCACTTTGTATGTCATAGCATCATTTATTTTTCGTTATTTATTTATCCGCATCATTATCAAGCTGTTCTATTTCTTCATAGTCTTTAAGACAATTCGCATTCTTTTAAAATGTGCAATAAATTGGATTTCATAACAAATTGACACAATAGAAAATTTTTTAAATTTCAAATTTATGAATCGATACATGCATAAATAATTCTCTGCTTAAAAAATTTATTTCAGAATTGATAGAAATATTTTTAACGGAACTATGATTATTGATGATGGAAATTTTTTTTTCACTTTTCTGCAATTTATTTGAATTTTAATAATCGCTTTTCTGCTATTGGTTGTGAGATTACGTTTTTTATCAAAGTATTAAGATTTTATCGACCAATTATCAATCCTTTTTCTTCATCAGATAAAACCAATATCTTTTTATTGGCAATTCTAAAAGTCGTTTGCGAATTCTATCTCCGAAGGTATCTAAAAGATTTGCAAGCTCTGA